GATGATGATGATGATGATGATGATGATGCTGATGATGATGATGATGATGAGGATGATGCTGATGATGATGATGATGATGATGATGAATGATGATGATGATGATGATGATGATGATGCTGCTGCTGATGCTGATGCTGATGCTGATGCTGCTGCTGATGATGATGATGATGATGATGCTGATGCTGATGCTGATGCTGATGATGATGATGATGATGATGATGATGAGATGATGATGATGGGAGGAGGAGTGAGGATGAGGAGGGAGGAGAGGAGGGGGGGGAGGCGGAGGCGGAGGAGGAGGAGGAGGAGGAGGGAGGGGATGAGGAGGAGGAAGACGGGAGAGGAGGAGAAGATGATTGATGATGCTGATGATGATGATGATGTGATGATGATGACTGATGATGATGATGATGATGATGATGATGATGATGATGATGATGATGATGATGATGATGATGATGATGATGATGATGATGATGATGCTGCTGATGATGATGATGATGCTGATGCTGATGATGATGATGATGCTGATGATGATGCGATGATGATGATGATGATGATGATGATGATGATGATGATGATGATGATGATGATGATGATGATGATGATGATGATGATGATGATGATGATGATGATGATGATGATGCTGAGGAGGAGGAGGAGGAGGAGGAGGAGGAGGAGGAGGAGGAGACGGAGGAAGAGGAAGAGGAGGAGGAGGATGAGGAGGAGGAGGAGCCCTCCTAGGCCTCACGAGCTGTGGAGCAGACCTCGAACTGGCCTTTTCTTTGGAGCCTGAGAAGGATCCGCTTCGCCATGCAGGTGCTGCGCTGACAAGGTACGCCAGGGAGTTCTGGCTGACCACGTCGCAGGAGCACAGGCAAGGTGATTGTCTGACGGTGGGGGAGCTGGCCAGAATTATACCCATCATTCAGAACCATGTGGAGGCGCACCCTAGCAGGTCTTGGGACTTCAGAGCTCTGGGGCCTGTGGGGGATATGCTTCAATGGATGATGAAAGCAAATTGGAAAGTTGTGGGCCCTGGGCATTTCGTGATGAGAGACGGGGACCCCTTCATCCTCACGGCCACGCCCTACTGCCAAGTATCTAAGTACTTCATGCGCGACATTAGTAAGCAGTTTATCTCGGAGCGCATGGGGAAATATTTTTGCGATAGTGACAACGAACGTGCGTTGGAGATCCTGGAAAAGGGGCTCTGGGTTGAACCGCCGAGGGGCTCCTCAAGATCCAAATCGCCCAAGTGGTCCAAAATGATCCGCCGCTGCATAAAGCAAGTTTTTACACGGTCGTACCTCACTGCGGGTACCCTACATCGATGGGGATATCAGGTATCACCTCTGTGCCCTTTCTGCCGCAGCGAACAGATTGGGCACGTAGATTCTGTATGGCATCGTCTCTATCAGTGTGCAGGTGTGCAGGGGCGCAGATCAGAGTTTCTGTCGGATGAGTTGGCCAAGCGTGGTCTTGAGGCTGGCCACGACGACCCGCTGTTCAGTAATCTGTGGCTGCCGTTCCTTGCGGGCATTGTACCGTGCGCTTGGGACGGGGAGGTTAAGTATGTGAACGCGGAGGGGGATTCTTGTGAGAGAATTTACTTTACTAAGGATATGCATATATACTCTGATGGATCCTGTATGGGGCCCACTCTACATATTGCAAGATCAGGGTGGGCTGTTATAGCAGTGAATGAGGAAAAGGGGAATTCCAGCAGGCGGCTGTCGTGAACTTGCCAGGCTTCCTCCCCCAGAGCGCGGTCTTTGCAGAAGCCTATGCACTTTTACAAGCGCTTGAGCACCTGTCTGGAGAAGAACCAGATATTGTATTCACGGTCCATGTGGACTGCAAGAGCCTTTTCAGCGGTGCAGAGAACAGTTTCACGGCGACTTCAGGCGCCACGCCGCTCTCAGAGGTCTGGAGAGCCCTGTTTCAGAGACGTTACCCAGCGTGGCGTCTACAAACAGTTCAGGCACACATCACAGATGAGTCCCTCGCAGACATTTCGAGGCGGCATAAGGGAGGGAATGATAAAGCTGACGAGTATGCCCGGTATGGAGTACACTCGCATCCAGATGTCTTGGGACACGTATTCAGATATGAGACGGCCCTCGCCGAATGGAATGATATTGCCATGTGTGTAGCTAGTTTTCTGTCTGATCTACCGCCAGCCAAAGAGTTACTCGGTAAGCTAAGTAGGCACCCCGCTCCCCCGAAGCGGAAGGTCCTCCCCAGCGGCCGTGCACACAGTGTTGTGGAACGGGTGCCATTGGAGGTGCGTCCAGTGCGCCAGGTGCTTTAATGATAAGAGAGCCCCTGGTAGGTGTACTGTTACCCCCCCCAGCCCTCAAGATGCCGGCTGGGATCCCGTTATACCGCCCTCATAAGTTACATGCGTGTCGGGTGGTCGAAACGGGCTTGCCCATAGTGTTTTGTGTGCGTTGCGGGGCTTGTACGTCTGGGCTTCCGAGAAAGCTTGGGGGCCCCTGTGGTAAGATTTTCGTGCAGCAGAGGCGCCAAATATTAAATGGTCGACATCCCTGGCCTAAGGGCCAGCATGTGTCACACCCCTGGCCACTTACCCCCGATTGCCCCAAATGGGAGGAGTGGTGGGAACAGCTCTATGGCAGGAGGTGATAGTGCTGTCAGTCGGCCTAGAGGTGCCTGCTGAATGCTCGGATGCGTGTTTCGGTCTGGGGATAGAGAGTTGCGCGTCCCTCTCCCTGGCCCTGGAAGGCGGTTTCTGGCCCTCGTGGCTCCGTCGTCCACGCTGCTGTGAAGAGGTGCGTTGTCGCTGTGGGCCCTCTTAATTTTTTTCCCGCAGCCCTTTCGTTCCTGGAATGGTGGGGTGAAGAGAGAGCCACTGGAACAGGAGGAGGACGAGGAGGGTACGGAAGAGGAGGGGGAGGAGGCGGAGGAGGAGGAGGAGGAGGAGGAGGCGGAAGAGGAGGAGGATGGGGTGGTGGAGGACGAGGAGGGTGGAGGAGGGGCAGGAGGAGGAGGAGGAGGAGTAGGAGGAGGAGGAGGACGAGGGGGAGCAGGATGATGATGATGCTGATGATGATGGTGATGATGATGATGATGAGGATGCTGATGATGATGATGCTGATGCTGATGATGATGATGGTTGTGATGATAATGCTGGTGATGATGCTGCTGCTGATGATGATGATGCTGATGCTGATGCTGATGCATGAGCTGATGCTGATGATGAGGATGAGGACGATGATGATGCTGAGGATGATGATGCTGATGATGCGGATGATGATGACGATGATGTTGATGCTGATGATGATGATGATGACGATGATGACGATGATGATGCTGATGATGATGATGATGTTGATGATGTTGTTGTTGATGATGATGAGATGATGATGCTGATGATGATGCTGATGATGATGATGCTGATGCTGATGATGATGATGCTAATGATCATGATGCTGTTGATGATGATGATGGTGAGGGTGATGGTGATGGTGATGATGATGCTTCTGATGATGATGATGATGATGATGATGATGATGATGATGATGATGATGATGATCATCAGGAGGAAGAGGAGGAGGAGGAGGAGGAGGAGGAGGAGGAAGGAAGGAGAGGAGGAGGAAAAGGAGGAGGAGAAGGAGGAGGAGGAGGAGGAGGAGGAGGACGAGGAGGATGTGGATGAGGGAGAAACCGACGGGGAGGAGGAGGCTCAGCAATATTAGGAGGAGGCGGAGGAGGCGGAGGAGGAGGAGGAGGAGTAGGAGGAGGAGGACGAGGAGGACGAGGAGGACGAAGAGGAGGAGGAGGAGGAGGAAGATAAGGAAGAGGACGAGGATGAGGAGGAGGAGGAGAAGGAACAAGAGGAAGAGGAGGAACAGGATGATGATGATGATGATGATGATGATGATGATGATGATGATGATGATGCTGATGATGCTGATGATGCTGATGATGATGCTGATGATGATGATGATGATGGTGATCATGGTGATGATGGTGATCATGGTTATTATGCTGATGATGATGTTGATGATGATGATGCTGCTGCTGATGATGACGATGATGATGATGATGCCTCTGCTGATGATGACGATAATGATGATGCTGCTGATTATGATGATGATGCTGCTGATTAGGATGATGATGCAGATGATGATGATGATGATGATGATGATGATGATGATGATGATGATGATGATGATGATGATGATGATGATGATGATGATGATGCTTGATGGATGATGATGTGATGATGTGCTTGATGATGATGATGAGATGATGATGATGATGATTGATTGATTGATGATGACGATGATGATGATGATGATGATGATGATGAATGCTGAGCTGCTGCTTCTGATGATGCTGATGAGATGATGCTCATGATGCTCTGATGATGATGATGATGACGATGATGCGCTGATGATAGCTGATAATGATGATGATGATGATGCTGCTGTCTGCTGCCGGCTGCCGATGATGATGATGATGATGATGATTGATGATGACGACGACGACGGACGATGATGATGATGATGATGATGATGATGATGATGCTGATGATGATGATGATGATGATGATGATGATGATGATGATGATGATGATTTTTATGATTATGATGATGATGATGCTGATGATGATGATGATGATGATGATGATGATGATGATGATGATGATGATGATGATGATTGATGATTGATGATGATGATGATGATGATGATGATGATGATGATGATGATGATGATGATGATGATGATGATGATGATGATGATGATGATGATGATGATGATGATGATGCTGATGACGACGATGACGAGGAGGAGGCGGAGTAGGACGAGGAGGATGAGGATGCGAAGGAGGAGGAAACCGAAGAGGACGGGGAGAAGGAGGAACAGCAATATGAGTTGGAGGGTCAGGAGGGAGGATCGATACAAGGGGGAGGGACGGTTGAGTGGACGGTTGAGTGAACAGGGGGGGGGAGCTGGAATTCCCTCGCCAGGCCACGCCCGCACCGCAGGCTTCGCCTGCGCTGCCGCAGCGCTCGCCTGGAGGGGCCCGTGGGGCGCTGCTTCTCGGAGGAGGACGGGGAGAGGAGGAAGAGTAGAATGAGGAGGCGGAGTAGGAGGAGGAGGAGGAGGAGGAGGAGAGGAGGAGAGGAAGGAGGAAAAGGAGGAGGAAGAGGAGAGGATGTACGGAGGAGGAGAATGAAGAGGAAGGAGGGGAGGAGGGAGGAGGAGGATGGAGGAGGAGGAGGAGGAGGAAGAGGAAGGCAGGAGGGGGAGGAGGAGGAGGAGGAAGGAGGAGAGGAGGACGAGGAGGAGGAGGAGGAGTGGGTAGTGAGGAGGAGGTGATGAGGAGGAGGATGAGGAGGAGGAGGAGGAGGAGGAGTAAGGGTGAGGAGGAGGAGAGGAGAGGAGGACGATGGATGATGAGGAGGGAGAAGGAGGAGGAGGAGGAGGAGGAGGAGGAGGAGGAGGAGAGAGGAGCCGAGATGAGATCGGAGGTAAGAGGAGGACAAACGAGGAGGAGGAGGAGAAGGATGGGGGAGGAGGAGGGACAACGAGAGGAGGAGGAGGAGGAAGAGGAGGGGCGGGGAGGAGGAGGAGGAGGAGGAGAAGAGGAGGAGGAAACGAGGAGGAGGAGGCGGAGGAGGAGAGGAGGAGGAGGAGGAGGGATGGTGGAGGCAGAGAGAGGAGGAGGGGGAAGACTGATGAGGAGCGAGGAGAAGGAAGGAGGAGGAGAGGAGGAGGAGGAGGAGAGAGGAGGAGGAGGAGGGAGTAAGAGGAGGACAACGAGGAGAGGAGGAGAAGGATGGGGGAGGAGGAGGACAACTGAGGAGGAGGAGGAGGGGCGGGGAGAGGAGAGGAGGAGCGGGAGTGAGGAGAGGTAGGAGGAGGTGGAGGAGGAGGGGCGGGGCGGGGGGAGGAGGAATAATAGGAGAGGAACATGAGAGGGACAGAGAGGGAAGCAGGGGGGCTGAGCAACAAGAGCAGGAGGAGGAGGAGGAGGAGGAGGAGGAGGAGGAGGTGGACACGGAGGAAACGAAGGAAACGGAGGAAACGGAGGAGAAGGGACGAGGAGGGACGAGGAGGGTTGGGGAGGATGAGGTGGAGGTGGCGTGACATGGAGGGGGAGGTGGGGGCAGGAGTGGCGTGCGTGTGTGTGTGTGTGTGTGTGTGTGAGTGTGTGCGAGGGGGAGGGTGTGGAGGGGGAGAAGATGGAGAACAAGGGGGAAGGGCTGGGTAGAAAGTAGGGGGGGAGCAACCTCGTACATGCGTTGCACACGAAGAGGGGGAGACAGGGGGAATAGAACGTTTTTGTGGATCTGTTGGGGTTCCCGATGCTTCCAAACCAGCCCTTCCCCCCCCTCTCTCCCGCTTCCCCTCCTTGTCCCTTGACGCTCATCATTGCTTCTCCCGTTCCTCCTATTTCTGCTCTTGCCTTCCCGCCTTTCCCTCCGCCTCATTTTTTCCCCCCTCTCTCTCTTTCTCTTTGTCTCGGCCTTTGTTTTTTCTATGACTGTATCGCTGTCTCGGTCTCCGTGTGTCTCTCTCTCTCTCTCTCATTATCTCTGATTTTTGTTGTTGTTTCACTCTCTCTCTCTCTCTCTCTCCGCCCCCTGCATGTATAAACATGTGGTTTTGGTCAATAGATCGTATCTTCTCGTCCCTCCATATCTTTTTTCCTTATCCATGATCGTCATTTTCTCCTTACTTATTTACATATAATATAACTCCTCAGCCTTCATCGTGTGTGTTCTTTGCGGGGTCGGGGTGAGGTGGTTTTGGGGGTGGGTAGAGTGGGTGGTTTCCCTCCCCTCTCTCTCTCTTCCCCCCTTCTCTCTCGCACATCTTCTATATGCCTCTCTCTTTCTCTCTTTCTCTCTCCCTCTTTCTTGTTCTCTGTTTCGTATATCGTGAATTGGAATTGCTTTTCTATAATCTCTGTCTGTCGTATCGTCTCTGTCCCTTCTTGCACCTCATTCCTTTTTTCTCATCTTCGTTCTACTGTAGATGTTCTCTTTTCTCGCTCCTTTCTCTATCGTCTGTCTTCTCGCGAGTCTCGTCTCTCGGCTCTCGCCTCTCTTCTCTCCTCTGCCACCTCTCGTTTCCCTCTCCCCCCCCGTGTCTTGTCACTCTTTTTTCTCGGCCTTCGCTTTTCTCTCATCTCTTTCTCTCGCCTCTCGTCTATCCCTTTGTCCGTCCCTCTAGCTCATCGATGACGAAAAGCTCTACGAGGTACGGTGACTTACGCGGTGATTTCGCGCTTTTCTAGTCACATCTCCTTTGAAGCGCTCCAGCGGAGCTTGGGCTATCAGCAGTGCCAAGACAGCAGAGCTCCTTGCCGCGAGTTTTCGTCTCTCCCCCCCTCTCCCGCCCTCTCCCCCCGTGGCAGGGCGAGGAGCCGGAGGCGGGCGGGCGGCGGAGGCGGAAGGGGAGGGCATGGGGAGCGTCCTGTCGAGGTGTTGTCGGCAGCTCCGGTGCTCACGCCCGCACCCGCCTTTTGCCCGCATCGAGGCTTTCGCCTGAGGACAAATTTTCCCTCGAGCGTCCCAACCTGCGCGGCGGGAAGTGGCGATCAAACTACCCCAATCCGGAACCAGAAAGTGAAACAAGAAGGGTGCAGCTGGGACTCAGGGGTCCGGCCTACCCCTGCAGGCTGCGGAGAGAGAGAGAGAGAGAGAAGAGAGAGAGAGAGAGAGATCAACGCGACGCGGCGCAACTACGGCCCTGCTGGGCGGAATTCGCCTGAGGACAGATAAGAACACGTCTGCAAGTAGTACTAATCATCATGGCACGTGTAGCAACAACTGTGGGCACATAGAAGAGACATGTTCTCATACTAGAAAGAACATGGGGCGGGCGTTTCCGCAAGAGAAGGGCGGAACTAGCGTCGGCAACGCGGGGCGGCAGTCGACGCCGAAGCAGCCTGAGCAGGAGGGAGGAAATCTCCGCCCTGCTCGCGAAATATCACCCGACAAGTACGGCGAATCTGGAGCCAGGGGACGAGGAGGAGGCGGAGGAGGAGGAGGTGGAGGAATAATGAGAAAATTGTTACTAATAGTGACAAATCGTGTTATTCCTACAAGTCTCATCATATTAATGAGAATAATAATACTAATGCGAGTAAGAAAAGGAAAGGGAACACAACTAATACAAAAAATGATGGCCCGAAGAAAAGTAATAATAGTAATGCGAAGCGTACCATGGTAAATATCATGAATCTTAATATCAGTATTATTAGTACTTCTGCTTCTACTGCTTCTACTGCTACTACTACTACTGCTTAGTTGCCTTCTATTATTTTCACTCGTACTATGATCATTATCACGAGTAAGATTCTCATACTAGTCATAAGAATGAGACTGCTCGTTCGAAGAAAGATACCACGAAGCATACCACGAAACATACTATTTACACGATTCGTGATGAGAAGAATAAGAATAGGTATAACATGGAGCGGACGTTTCCGCGAGAGAATGGCGGAACCACCGACGGCAAAGTGGAGCGGCGATCGACGTCGAAGGAACCTGAGCAGCAGGGAGGAGATCTCCACCCTGCGAACGAACAAGTAAGGTGGATCTGGAGTCAGGGGAGGTGGATGATGAGGGGGCGGAGGAGGAGTATGAATAGTTATAGAAACAGTACTATCACTAATCGTACGAATGACAATAATATTATTAAGAAGTGTGATGATAGTATTAATACTCCTAAGACTGAGAATGATCTTCTTAACAATAACCATAGGAATAGTCATATTAAGAATGCGATTTCTGCTGCTACTACTTGCGAATTATCGCCCAACAAGGACGACGATTCTGGAGCCAGGGGAGGAGGAGGAGGAGGAGGAGGAGGAGGAGGAGGAGGAGGAGGAGGAGGGAGGGATGAGGAGGAGGAGGAGGAGGAGGAGGAGGAGGAGGAGGAGGAGGAGGAAGGAGGAGAGAGGAGGAGGAGGAGGGGAAAAGAGGAGGAGGAGGAGGAGGAGGAGGAGGGAAAGGAGGAGGAGGACGAGGAGGAGCCTCCTCGGCGAGGCCCCTGGAGGTACATCTCTCGGGGCCCCTTTTCAAACGGGGCGCCCTCGGCGCGCACTTCTCTCGGAGGCCCCGCGGCACGGCGAGGGCGGCGGGCCAGCAGAGGGGGCATGGGGGGGAAGGGGGGGGGGGCGAGGGAGAGGGTACGAGGGGCGAGGGAGGAAGGGAGGGCAGGAGGGAAGAGGGAGGGGGACGCCGAGGAGGAGAGAGAGGAGGGAGGAGGCAGGGAGGGTGGGGGGGGGGCCGGGGCCTCGCCCCTCGATCCTCCTCCTCTTCCTCCCCGACTCTTCACGCGCGGGTCTTTGAATAAGTAGGCATCCTGGGATTCCCAGATCCCAGTCTGCTTTCGCAGCCTTCCTGCTTCAAGGACGGAGTGGCTGTTCATCTTCCCTCCTCTTCAGAGGGCGGGCGGAAGCCCGATCTGCTTTCAGCGCCCTCGTGCTCCCGACAGGCCGACGGGTGCTCGGGGACTCTTGTGGCGCGCCTGCGCGGGGGCGCGGGGGCTCGAGCAGAAGTCTGGCCGGCGCGGTCCCCGGGGAGGAGCACCCGCGCGGTATCCGCCCAGAGGCGGTCAGCAGGTGCCCGGCCGCTCGCCGCTCCCTGCCTGAGGGAGGAGGAGGAGGAGGAGGAGGGTCGATGAGGAGCTGCTAGAATATAGCGATCTCGTTGGGATGCAGGAGGAGGAGGAGGAGGAGGAGGAGGAGGAGGAGGAGGAGGAGGAGGAGGAGGAGGAGGATCGGTCAGCAGGCACCACGCCGCTCTCTGCCTCCAAGAGGAGGAGGAGGGAAAGGGCCAAACAGGATCGCGGTTGGAGGATATGTTTTTTGTTGTCTAGTGTTCTTGATTTCTCCCGTTATGTGAGGTCTCGTGTCTGAAGGATACGGTGGGCGTTGGAAAGATAGCGTGCGATGTGTCGCCGCCAGCCCGCTTATTACACGGAAGAAGCCCCGGCAGGGTGATAGCGTGCACAGAAGGGGCCCTCGCGGGGGTAGCGCCTCAGAGGAATATCGTGCTCTTTGTATACGTATCGATGTTGCACGCTATCGTGCCAACGCCAACCGTAGAATATAGTGATCCTTCTGGCGCATTGCAGCAGGAGGATGAGGATGATCGAAGAGGATAGAGGTGGGAGTTTCTTTTTATGCCGTTTGTTGTTTTTGAGGTACCGTTTCTGAAGAGTCAGCATTCTTGATCTCCCCCCCTCCCCGTCACTCCCTCTCCTCTTCCTCGCCTCCGTCCTCAGTCCCCTCCCCTTCCTCGTCTCTCCGCTCCCCACTTCCTCCTCTCCCTCCTTCCCCCCACCTCTTCCGCGAGCCAGGGGATGTATTCATGTCCACCGCCTGTGGAACCAATCTCCTGGAATCCAGGGGTCGGTGGACATGGACATATTCGGGCCTTCCAGGGCCCGAATACGTACATGCCGATGTCCAGGAAGAGTTCCAGGAAGTTCGGTTCCACGGACTGTGGATGTGTGTAACAATCCTTGGCGCGCATTTCGCTCCTCCTCATTGGACGAGGTTCCAGGAATCCTCTTCCCCGCCCCCCCCCTGCGGGGCAGTCTTCGGGCTCCCTTGGGGGTTTCGGGTTCGAATCCCCCCCCAGCGAAACTGATGATTTCGATGTCCCTCCCTCCTCTCCGCCTCGCGCACTCTCTCTCTCTCTCTCCCCCTCTCTCTCTCTCCCTCTTCGTCCCTCTCTCTCTCTCTCTCCATCTCTCTCTCTCTCTCTCCGTATACCTCCGCCCATCGGTTCTCCGGCGAAGCCCTCTAGCGCGACCCCAGCCGCAGTGCAGTGTTGCTTGGCGGTTTTGAGAAGGGTGGTGGGTGGTGTGCGTGGGGGTAATTACTTTTCCTTTTTCTGTTTTTGTTCCCCCCCTCCCCCACGGGCGACAGCGACGACGACTGCGACGACGGCGGTGATTAGGAAGCTGAACGTACAGCCAGATACTTACACAGGCTCCCAAAGAAGCCTTGAGTCTTTACAAAAGGGGTCCTTACCGATGGGGTCCTTGTTAAAGGCACCACCATTAATGATGGCTTATTAAAAACACTCTTACTAAGGATCCCTTACTAATGGCAACCCTACCAGGGATCTCTAATTAATGGCCGCCTTACCAAGGATCCATTATCAGAGAAAACAGGAACAGTGAATCCTTACTGCAGGGATCCTTACTGAGAGGATCCTTACTAAAGGCATCATCACTGAAGGGCTCCTCACTGAAGAGGTCCTTACGACGAATCCTTTGAGGAATACCCCCTTCCCAAACGAAAAGGTGCTAGAGGCACCTTCGTAAGGATCCCCTACTAAACGGATCTTTTTCAAGGACGCTTTGATACAACAATATCTTTTCGAAGGACCGATTACTCAAAAGATCTGTGCTAAGCCCCTCTCACTAAGGGGATTCAACTATACCTTTCTGTTGGACCCGTGCCACGACCTAGGCCCTGTCCATCAGCGGAGACCGCGCCCGTTCCCGCAGTCCCAGTACAGTGGCTGTGTTGGTGGCCGTGGGGTGAGAGAGAATAAAACCTTTTTCGCACATGTTTGCAATCGTGCGTTTTTGTTGTCGCCACCCCACCACCACTACCCCGCGCACCAAGTATTCTCACGAAGGAGTCCTCATTATTATCTTTCTCCTTCAGGGCCGTTTGCAAAAAAGCATTTTTCGTAAGGGGCCCCGACTAAAGGACATATTTCAAGAGGAGTCCAGGGGGCCCTTACGGAAGGAAAATTCACATGCATCCCCACCAAGGAGGCCTCACGAATGACATCCGTATCGAGTATCCATTAACAAGATACCCTTGTCCACGGAGCCGCATCCGCTTCAAAGCGCTATTACTAAAGGAACGGTGGTCAGGGATCATTACTACAGGGGTCCCTACCGAGATGTCACTGACTAAATGAAGCCTCCCTTATGCGGGCCTTTCGGGCAACATTATTACCAAGGATCCCCAGCCACAGGCATCAGTACCAATGAGCCCTTATTGAAGGACGCGTGAACGCTGAATCTTGACGGCATCGTTCTTTTCTGCGGGTGTCCCTACTAAGGGCACTTTGTCCGCACTCAGGACCTCTTCATTCGTAAAGAACCCTTAGCACATGAAGTCTTACAAAGGAGTCCTTGTTGGAGTGTGTCCTTGCTGGGGGGTCCTTAGGGTCCTTTCCACAGCTGTCCCCGCTGAGGGGTCTCACTACAAGCACCAGTACTAATGATGTATTAATATCATGCCCTTCTCCAGGGACCAACATGTTTCTTAAGGAACCGTGAGTGTAGTAAGGGATCGGCACTGCAGCCTTACCGAGAGGACACGTGCCAACATTGCCCTCCCTGAGTATGCTTTGCAAAAAAGAGTCAACACTTTTTCCGACGGATCCATGATTACAGGCATCATTGCCAATGGGCTCTTCGTGCATGACGCTTGAACAATGAATCCTTACTACACGGATCTTTACTGAGGGGGTCCGTACTAAGGGCATCCTTACCGCATTCTGGATTATTTTACAGAAGGCATCCACCGTAAGGAACTTTTACGATATGACATTTTACAAAGGAGTCCCTGCTACAGGGGGCCTGTACTCGGGGGGGGGTACTTACTACATGCGCCCGAACTAAGGAGCTGTCTAACAACAACAGCACAAGCCATCCCTTACCAAAGGTGTTCTTGCCCAGGAGCTCTCAACTTCTTGAGGAGCCGTTCCTAAACAGTAGTCGTGAGTTATGATGGCTACAGGGGTTTACCGAGGGCGCTTACCAAACGAGTCATCCTTAAGGGACCTTGCAGGCACCGCTCGTACGAAACATCCCTTACTAAAAGGCGTTCGAACCAAGGGGTCATTATTGAAGGAAACATGCGCAAGGAGTCCTTACTACAGGGATCCTTAGTGAGGGGTCCTTTCTCCATGCGTGCTGACGAAGGGCTCTTCCTTGAACGGGATCCATGCGACGGACTCCTGACTAAAGGGGTCAGTGCTAACGAACGCTGACTCAACGCATCTTCATTGAGGACCACACACCACACGTTTATTTACTCAGTCTTCCTTGATCGATAGGCATGGCCACGAACGACGCATGACGACACAATTGTGTACGGCATCTCCCACGAACGGGATGCTTGCCAAGACTCTCTGCGAGTTTCGCAGGGGGGGGATTCGACCCCCGAACCCCTCTCGTGACAGTCTTCGGGCCGTCGTGGGGCTCTCTTTGGCCGCCTCGGGGCCGCCCCTCGGCCGGTCCTGGGAGCGCTCCCGTGCGCAGAGGCGCACTGATACTACCGAGACTCATTCACACTCCAGCCCATGCACAGTTAGATTCGCTCCCAGTCCGTCAGTACTCAACCCCGCCTATATCCAAAAACCCTTTGCGCCTGGACACTCACGGCGGACAGGTCCATGCTAGCAGATGCACATGTGGGGGGCCGCTCTGGACCTCCTTGGGGCCGTCTTGGGACCGCCTGGGGTCCGTCTTGGGGGCTGCCGCTCTTCGCGCCCGCCTTCGCCTCCCTCCCTCCCCCCTCCTCCTCCTCCTCCTCCACCTCCTCCTCCTCCTCCTCCTCCACCTCCTCCTCCTCCTCTCCTCCTCCTCTCCCTCCCCCTCCTCCTCTTCCGCTCTCCTCCTCCTCCTCCTCCTCCTCCTCCTCCTCCGCACTCCTCCTCGTCCTCCTCGTCCTCCTCCTCGTCCTCTCCCCTCCCTCCTCCTCCGCTCCTCTCCTCCTCCCTCCTCCTCCTCCTCCTCCTCCTCCTCCTCCTTCCTCCTCCTCCTCCTCCCCCTCCTCCTCCTCCTCCTCCTCTCCTCCTCCTCTCTCCTCCTCTCTCTCCTCCTCTCCTCCTCTCCTCCTCCTCCTCGTCCTCCTCCTCGTCCTCCTCCTCCTTCTCGTCTCGTCACTCCTCCTCCTCTCCTCCTCCTCTCCCTCCCCTGCCCCGCCCCGCGCAGTTCTCGCCTCGTGGAGCGCCGCCCTCGGCGGCGGCGGCGTCGCTGCTGGAGGCGGCGCGCCCAGGAGGAGGAGGAGGGAGGAGGAGGAGGAGGAGGAGGAGGAGGAGGAGGAGGAGGAGGAGGAGGAGGAGGAGGAGGAGGAGGAGGAGGAGGAGGAGGAGGAAGGGGGAGGGGGGAGGGGAGGGGGAGGGGGAGAGGGAGGGGGAGGGGGAGGGGGGAGGAGGAGGAGGAGGAGGGAGGAGGAGGAGGAGGAGGAGGAGAGGAGGAGGAGGAGGAGGAGGAGGAGGAGGAGGAGGAGGAGGAGGAGGAGGAGGAGGAGGAGGAGGAGGAGGAGGAGGAGGAGAGGAGGAGGAGGAGGAGGAGGGGGGGGAGGAAGAGGAGGAGGATGAGGAGGAGGAGGAGAAGGAGGAGGGGGAGGAGGAGGAGAAGGAGGAGGAGGAGGGGCCCTCCTGCGGCCGCGTGCTCGCGCGGCGCCTGGAGCACGCTGGTCCTGAGCCGGCAGACACCTCCGCCGCCCCTCAAGTCGGGCGGCTCCCCATGAGGTGGCCCGCTGTCTCGGTCAGAGGCCACTCCCAAGGGGGGGGTCTGCCTCCTCCTTGTCCTCCTCTTCCTCCTCCTCCTCCGTCCTCTCCTCCTGATTCCTGATTCCTGGTGGCATGAGAGATCGTCTATCGCTGCCCTCCTCCCCCTCCTCCTCCTGCTTCTCCTCCTCCTCCTCCTCCGCGTCTTCCTTCATCCTCTTCCTCCTCCTCCCTTTACACTAGACCAACATAAGCCTCAAGGCTGTTGCGTTTTGGAAAAAAAGGCAGGTATATGTAAAACCTACTTGGCGTAGAACCGCTGGCAGTCCACCCGGCAGGCGCCGCGAGTAATGAATGAACATGAGTCCGGCGACGAGTAGGAAAAAGAGTAGGCACCTGCCAGATGGTAAAGCTCGGCTATCCTGACCTTAGTGTGCCACCTCCGCCTCTTCCTCACCTTAGTGATGCCTAAGGGCCCCCCATATCATGTGTAGGATAGCCCAGTAGATGCAAGGCTAGCAAGCTGGCCCGAACGTTACCAGTAAAGGCAGGTGTGCAAAGTAGCCTATGGTTTGGTGGTTGCAGGGACGTCAGTGCAGGGCTGGCACAGTCTGTACTGTCTGGCCCAGGTGCAATTCTAGGGCTACTCCCCGTACAAGCAAGCGAGGGAGGTGGCTGGCAGACAGGATGTGGGGCTGGCACATAGGTGCGAGCTGTCCCAAAGCATGCGATCCTGGGGTTGCTACCTTTTGTGCATATAACGGCGCACCGGGCTCGGGGGGCCGAGGGCCCGAACCTCGACCGCAAATGTGGATGCCGGGGCCCAGGCCCGCCTCTGGGAGGTCTACAATCGCCCCAGGGAGCTCTCAGACAGCAGCCCCAGCGGCCCCAGGCGGTCTTGAGACACCCCCAGGACGCCGTCCGGGGGTCTCTGGCGATGCACGATGCATTTTAAACTGCCCTTGAGGCTCCCAAGACGCCCCAAGAGGCCTTTAAGATGCCGCCCAAAAGCGCCCCGAGAGGGCAAAATCTTTGATTTTCAATTGTCCTTCAATGATCTTTTTGCATTCTCGTTGTTTCGCGTTTCTGGCGCTGAAGCACTGCCCAAGAAGCGCCCAAAACCGCTACAAGACGGCCCAAGAGGCCCGCAAGAGGGCCCCAAGACGGTCCAAGAGAGCCCCGAGACGGCCCCAGAGCCGCCCAAGACGGCGCAAGAGGGTCCCAAGAAGGCCCCAAGAGGGGCCCATGAGAGGGAACGCGAACTGAAAAATCATGCTCTCCGCCCCAAGATGCCCCCACGAGGCCCCAAGAGGAAGCCCCCAAGAGGCCCTAAGAGGCCTCCGAGAGGCCCCAAGAGGACCCCAAGAAGCCCAAAAGAGATTCCAAGAGGCCCCAAGACGGCATCCAAAAGGCTTCAAACCTCTTTCTAAGAGGCCTCCGAAGACACATACATAGACATATGTATATGTATAGTGTTATCGTGTATATGCATATATTTTCATAATTTCATTTTCTATATATATATATATATATATATATATATATAGTATCCCTGGACCGAGGCGGGGGGGGCCCCCAACGTGCCTTGGGGTGTCGGGGCGCCAGGGATGCTTCCAGACCGCCCAAGGCAGCCCCAACACGGATGAAAAGGGCCGCGAGAGGCCTCCAGGAGGCTTTCTATGCGAGAGGCCTCCAGGAGGCCTGCTATCGCGGAGTTATCGTTCTAACACGCCCAAGATGGCCTCCGGATGCCCCAAGAAGCCCAAATCACGGATTTTTCATTCGGTTTTTGGTGCATTTTGGCGTTTCAGCCTTTGGGCATCCCGACGCTCAAAGACGGCCCAAGAGGCCCCCAAGACCGCTCCACGATAGCCGAAGAGCCCTCCAAGAGGGCCCCAAGACGGCCCACGAGGCCCCAAGACGGTGCCGGAGGCGCCCAAGACGGCCCGAGAGGGCCCCAAGATGGTTCCAAGAGAGGCTCAATAATGGGAGCGCGAACTCAACATCAGAGTCTTCCGCCCTAAGAGGCCCAGAGAAGGCCCCAAGAGTCCCCAAGTGGTCCGACGAGGCCCCCATAGCCTCCCAAGTGGCCCCAAAAGGCCCCAAGGAGACGTACAAGGGGCCCCAAGATTGCCCAACAGTGCCCTCGATGCATCAAAACTGTCTGTAGGAGGCCCCCGGAAGGCTTCCGGATTGCCTCAGTGTGGCCTCAGGCGCTCTCAAGTCGGGCCTCCACGCAGCCAAGACGGCCAATGACGGCTTCAGATTGCAGAACATCACCTTCTGACTGCCCGGAGAACCCCGACGATGCTCCCAAGGGACCCCAAGAAGCCCCATGACGCCCCCCCAAGAAGCACCCAAGAGGTGCATCCAACAGCAAATTGAGGAAGCACGGAGAACCCCCCAGAAGGCTTTCAGATGTCCCCACGAAGACCCAAGAGGTCACCAAGAGCCCTCAGGAGGCACGACTATGTCACGCACCTGTGCTTGATAGCGCTGTCCAAGATCTTCCAGCGCCCCCCCGGCCTGGGCCAAAACTTGAGCGCGCGCGCGAAGCGCGCGATGGTTCTAGTTTTAGTATAAATATAATATCCCTTCCCAGCAAAAGTATATCCACCACCATCGCCAAAGTCCATGTCTGCGACAGTAAAGGAGCAGGTGCTGTCAGTAGGAGCTGCAGGTGAGAGGTCAAACTAGAGAGGTGGACTGAACGCAGCGGGTGGGCTCGGAGTGGCTGGCAGAACGGCTGTGGGGCAGGCACCCATAAGTGCAGCTGCCCCCTTCCAGTATGAGAATTGGCTGGCAGAAATGATGTGGGGCTAGCACGGTAAGTGCGAGTCGTGCCAAAGTCTTGAAATTCTGGGGTTGCTAATTACCCTAGCTTGTGTAAGAGTGAACTCACACCCGGTCCTAAACTCCCATCCCGTCCATATCTACCCCAATCCCCAAGTCCATGCTTGCGACCGTTACAAAGCAGGTCCTGTCAGTAGGCGCCACAGGTGAGAAGGTCAAACCAGAGAGGTGGACCTTACGCTGCAAGCTGCTTAGAGTGGCTGGCAGAAAAGGGTGTGGGGCAGGCGCCATAGGTGCAGCGGCCCCACTGACATGCAAGAATTGGTTGGCAGAAGAGATATGGGGCTAGCAAAGTATGTGCGAATCGTCCAAAAGTGCGGCAATCCTGGGGCTGCCACCCTCGCTTGGGCAATCATGAACTCCTACCCCGTCTTGAGCTGTATGAAGGAAAAGGGTTAAGTGGCTGTCTGATTGTGTAGGGCAGGCTCTGATTGGCTTCTGTCCCAAAAATTATGATGCGAGAGGTGGCCGGCTGAAGAGATGTGGGGCTGGCACAATAAGTGCGAGCTGTCTTGAAGTAATGCAATCCTGGGGCTGCTACTCTTGTTTAGGTAAGAGTGAATGCCCTTCTCGGCCTGATACCGCCTAACCTAGCCCATCTCCCATGTCCGTTCTATTGGTGCTGCAGGCCAGGCAAGCTAAGACAACTGTTGGTTGATGCGTCATGTTTGCGGGGCTGGCGCAGACTGTGCTGGCTGGTCCATTGGCAACAACCCTTGGGCTGCTGCCCCTGCGAGCTTAGATATGTCAGAGCAGAAGGTGTTCGAAGCTGCGCAGGCGAGGTGGGGAGTGCAAGGGCTGGGACTGAGCCGTATGCGGTGAAGAGGCTTTAAGTGGCAGGCAGCTGATGCGGAACATGCCCTGATGGGCGTCTGTCCCAGACAAGGCAGGTGCAATGCAATCCTGGGGCTGCTACCTTGTCTAGGCAAGACGGTCTTCCGCCAAGAGACTTAGTGATGCGGTGGTAGATGTCTGGGCTGCTGTCCCAGAACAATGTAAATGTACTGCAGTTCTGGGGCAGCTAGACTTGTCTAGGCAGCGAACTTCCATTGTGGCTGTGAGAAGAACTGCAGGCTGAGCTGTAGCTGAGAAGGTAGCACTGATGTGGCTGGCTTAAACTGACTGGCTGACAGCATGTTGGGCTGGCACAGTGCACGCAAACTGCCCCGCAGCATTGCAAGCTTTGGGCTGCTGCCCTTGCGCAGGCAGAGTGAATGGTGGCGGTGGAGCGGGAGGCAGTTAGTCAGAGGGAGGCGGAGGTGAGGCGAGAGGTAGGCTGTGTGTTGCCAGTTGGCAAGGTGGCGGCTGCCTGTAAAAAAAAGCAGGGCTGATCGTCGTGCTAGTGACTAGCACGACGATCAGCCCTGCTAGTCCAGTGCAATCCATCTGGGGGCTGCTACCCTTGACTCTGCAAGGTGCCCTGCTCCACTGGCCAGCTCTGCTTGAACATGCGGGGCTGGCGCGGTCTGTGCTGGCTGGCCCAATGGCGGGCAATCCTTGGGCTGCAACCCTGCAGGCAGAGTTGAGCCAGAGCACGCGGAGTCAGATGATGCGCGGGAAGGGTGGAGTGTGCGCAGAAAGGGCGCGGGAGAAGGTTCCTCCCCCTCCTCCGCGCCCCCCTTCTGCTGGCCGGTGCTCAAGCGGATTGGAAACACCGCGCCGGTTCTTGTAGCTGGGGGC